ATTGGTTCAGGTGGTCGAGGACAAGCAGGACCAGGTCCTTCCCTCTGTCCCCAGAATAATGATAGAGCTCCCTGACTGATGCGTGGTGAACATGGGAGGGTACCTCAGGGAATTCTGACCTCGCATAAGCCCTGTGTCCCCAGAGACCCCAAGCCCACATGCTGACGTCACACTTTCATACCCTCCCCTCTTTTCCTTTTGCGCAAGGAGCCCTGAGTGTGCTGAGGGCTGAGGCACTGAGTGAGGCCCCCCTGAAGCAGGCTGCGGTGTCATCTGCATTCATCAACATTAACAGTCATGAAAACCCTGCACAGAGTCACTAAGAGTCGGGTTTGGTGGCTTTGATTTTCTTTGCCTCAAGAGCCCTGGTGGTGCTATGTGTTAAACATTTGGGCTGCGAACCCCAAGGTTGGTGGTTCAAACCCACCAGGCATTCTGCAAGAGAAAGATGAGGCTGTCTGCTCCCTGAGTTACACTGACTTAGAGATCCAAGAGCTACGAGGTACCCCTTCACTACAAAAAAAATGACAGTAAAGTTCACAAACGCAGAAAACAACAAATGTTGGAGGGGGTGTGGGGAGATTGGAAGCCTCAGGGAGTGCTGGTGGGCCACTGACCAATGCAGCCACCGTGGACAAGTGGCTGTCTCAAACAACTGGGACTAGAACCCCAACGGCCCAGCCGTCGCACTACCTGGAATATACAAGATCAAGAACATGGCAGAAGATAGACGCGCGGTCATGTTCACCTCGCAACGCTGATCATCATAGCGAGGAAGGGAACGACCTTGAATGCCCCTCAGTGGAGGAGGGGTGGGGGTGGAAAAATAAACTCTGGTATGGACACACAATGGGATACTACACGTCAGAGAAGTCAGCCAGACACAAAAGGACAAATATCCTGTGAGACCACTCGTACAAAAAAACAGAATCCAGAAAAGGTTCTCAGACCCAAAGAACAGTGTGATGGTCCCGAGGGATGGGAGGGAAGAGGAAGCAATTGGCTGGAGGGCAGAGCGATGTGAACTTGGGTGTGCGGAGACAATATCCCAGAGGGAGGTAGGGAGGAGAGGGGGAGGGGTGGAACAGGATGTGCCCTTGGGAAGTTGGAGAAACTGTTGCATGCAGAAATGATGATCTGATATGTAAATATCCACTTAATTCACAATAAAATGTTTGAAAATAACAACAAAGAAACAATGGTTGGGGCTTAGAAACCCCCAGGGGCAGGTCTTACATCATGTCTCCAAGGCCTTATCCATACAGTAAAATTACATCAGGGCCATGGTCAGAAGTCCTGCCTCCACCTACATACAGTAAAATTACATCAGGACCATGGTCAGAAGTCCTGCCTCCACCCACATGGGTCACTTCTTGAACAAACACCTGGAGAGCTCCCAGGTCAGGCAAAAACTCCCGCATGCCCAGCATTGCCCTCTGCAGTAGGCAACCCTGCCATCCTCCTTTCCAGCAAGGGAGACAAGCCCTGAGGAGCTTCAGGTCATGCTCAGGGCTGCGTAGATGGGGTAGGTGGGCCGGGATTTAGACTGAGGTGTCCCAGACCCACAGTTCTCTGCTAATGAATTAGAGCCACGTGGAGAAAAGTCCTGAGAAAATTGCCCAGGGATGGGGCTTCCATTCCGTGAGGCCCTCAAGGCCAGTTGGCGGCTTCCAGTCCTCAGCCCATCCCAGCCTGTGGCGTGGCATCGGACAGCGCTCAGCCAGAGGCAACGCAGCCCTAACCCCCACCTCAGGCAGGCATGTTGCCCTGGAGAATCTTGCTTTGTTCGTTCCTTCGGATTCTCTCTTCTCTGAAGAAAGAGAAAGATTAATATTTTCCCCGCAGATTGTTTTGCCCAAGAATAAATATTTCAGTATTAAAGGACTTAGGCTTCCTGGCTCAGCCAAGGCAAGAGGCCCTTAAGAGCTAAGTGAGCCATTCTTCGTAAGAGAGTCTTCCCCCAAGTGCTCTGGTTTGCCTGCAAGTGGGTTCCAGGCCACCCAGTGCAAGGTGACAGGCTTCCTGTAGGTCGCCTCATTTTCTTGTTTGGCTTGGATGCCCTCAGTTCTTGAGGAATAAGGGTTGGGAAGACACATTCCATTCTCCAGGTACATTTCGGGAAGGTGGAAGGGGTGTAAACTGGAAGGCTACTAACACAGGAGTCTGACCCGCTGGGCAGGCTCACTGGGTCCCAACTCATGACATCGTGAAGCCAGGTGTCACCCAGGTCACATCCCCAGCCATGCCCCTCAGGACTGCCCACATTTGTTTCTCAGCCTGACTGTGCCTGCTCTGCCCGCCATGAAATGAGGGAATAAAACCAAAGAGCAGCGCTGCAATTAGGAAGAAATGAGATGACATATGTGCAGGGACTCTATAGCTAAGACGCTCGGGCTTCTAGTTACCACCAACTGAATGTAAACAGGGAAGATGCTATAGGTGAGACAAAATGCACATTAAAAAAAGTGTTCTCCTCTGAACGAACTTCAGCAAAGTGTAACATGGGACCAGATGATGGGATGTTCATCCTAAACATGAGACAGGGAGAGGAAGGGGCGTGATCAGAATTAATCTTGAATTTCAGTTCTGACCAGAGGAAGTGATACAACCGGAGCGGGGCGTGGAGGAAGCAGAAAGAGCAGGGACAGGGCTGGCCACACAGATTCTATGCACCAAGTGCCTCTACTTCTATTCCAGTACCAGAGGCCACCAGAAGAGAGAGATGACAAGGGACCCGGAGGGTACAGCTCAGGAAATTACCTATAGAGTACCTGAAAAGCCATTTTGTCGCACACATCCATCTCATGAAACCAACAAGCAAAAATATGAGCCAAACGCGATCAAACTGACAGCTTTTTTTCACGTATTAATGGCACTTAATATCAATGATTTTAGAGGATTTCATTTTTCCCTCTCCACACCAACCCCCACCTCCCATTGATGGCCTAATTTGTTGATCCTCAGCTATAAGCTATGGTGATGTGGTGAGGGGATGAATTCTGGCAAAATCCTGTGTGTCACCCACTCATTCATCATGCAAGTATTTTGAGGGGAGACTTTATGCAATAACTGATGATGCTGGAAAAAACAGCCACCACCACCAGTAGTTCCATGGGCTGGGCATACTCCACGTCCAGGAGGATGCTCTCCTACTTTGGCATCGACCTAAAAGACCAGGTCCCCACCCTCACAGCCATCTCTCCCAATGGAAGCGAAATGTACGTACCATGTAAACTGAGGTAGCAGATTTTGAGTGTGGCAAGTAGTATGCAATAGAAGACACCTAGCAATTTGACAGCAAGGTGAAGGTCAGCTGGGGGGAGGAGGACAGCTGGAGAGACAGGGCAGTCCCAACAGAGGATGGCCAGATGACATTGAAGCCGAGAGCTGTATGATGACAGATACTTGGCTGTGTGAACATCTGAGTCAGGAGAGAGGATCCTGGAGTGGGCCTCAGGTCCAGACCAGGCTACCAGTTACTGGGGACCAGGAAAGCGATATCAAGGACTTCACACCCACCCCGACCCTTGCACCAAGGAAACCCACTCCTGAGCCACCAGGGGGTCAGCACTGTTTTCACGTCCAAGCACATCAGGGAGCATTTGACATCCGACATCATCTGTACACTATGAATGGCTTCATTCTTCCATTCACTTGATGCTCCTCTCTGAAAATGGCTGAACCCAGCACTGGCGAAACTGGGCCATCCCTCCAATGCTGTTATCAATGCAAATTGGCAAGGGGATTTTGTTCTGTTTGGTTGGTTAGTTGGCTGGGGTTTGTAGGTGTGCCTTTTTCTTATGTTTTCACAAAAGCAATCTTGCAACACAAAGAAGTAGTCATCAAGATGCTCACAGCCTTTGGCCTGGTCACTCACTCAAGCTCCCAGGGGACATCCCTGAAGGAGAGGAGAGAGTCTGGTTCCAAAGAATAAACATGTCCTCTGGCTGAAGGAGGACTCCACCACTCAAGGGTTAACTGTTGTACAAAGAGGCGGGGGACACACACACCTGGAGTACCCAAAAGACTGCAAATCGAGCAATTCACAAGAAATAAGATAACTCGTTGGATAAACTAGTATATAACCACTCCTTGTAATCATCAAGCTCATCCGCGGTTTTGAAATCGAATCGACCGCTCCGGAAAGCCGCAACAAGGAACCCACTTCCAAGGAAAGCACAGCAACCACCCCTCCAGGCACACAGGCCACGCAAAGTGGGAAACCTAAACCAGGGCCAGTGGGGTGGGGGATTATTTATTTCCCAAATCCTCCTTATACCGTGTGTTTTCAGTTAAAACCCCCTCATCACTATAGGAATCTGTAAGCACCGCAATAAACCCAGCCCACGGCCCCGGAGGGATTCCCACTCCTGGCCACCCTGCAAGGCCGAGTCAAACTAGCCTCTGTGCGTTTTCCAAGGCAGTCCACCGACCTTTCAGTTTACAGCAGAGCACTTGACCGCGATGCCTCCAGAGCTCCAAGGGCAGCCACAAAGATAAACCCAAACTCACTGTCAATGCTGACTCAGCAGCCCAATGGGCCAGGGCAGAACTGCCCCTGGGGGTTTCTGAGACTTTAGCTCTTTACCGGAGTAGAAAGCCCCTTCTTTCTCCCGTGGAGCTGCTTGGCAGTTTTGAACTGCTGACCATATGGATCGCAGCCCAACTTGGAACTACTACACCACCAGGGCTCCTTAAACAACCAAAAGTACAATGCGGTATGGTTCCTCTTTAAATCGAAAATCCATCCCAAATTAAAGAGCCTAAGTTAAGTTCAGAACCATTTTTCACCTATAGATCCTATAGGAGTCCACTTTGTACAAAAACAAAATATGACAAGGCTTTACAGTAGCTTTTTCTATATTTTGGAAGGTGGCTCGTCCTACCGAGTGGGAGATGGTCTCAGAGGTAAGTCGAGAGCCTGCCCTCTGCCAGCAGATGGCTCTGTCGGGGATGCATGCCTGGGCTGTCCCACAGCTGCAAGCTTTGGGGACACTCACCTTTCACGATCAGCTCCGCATAGTTGGACACGCCAGAGCCCCCGTCGGAGCGGATCACGCAGCGGTACTTGCTGACGCTGCGCTGGGCAGTGTCCGCCACGCTGACGGTCGCTGAGAAGCGTCTGTGGTTGACCACGCGGGTGACCATCAGAGCTGTGTCTCTGCCGTTCCACTGCTGCAGGAGAGAGAGAGAGGAGAGGAGAAATCACCACCGGCTCCTGGGTGACCCCTGCTAGTATAAAGTGACCAGATTTTAATATTGGTAAAGCAGGACACCATTGATAAAACTCATATCCTGGCGAAATAGCCACATGGCAGCCAAAAACCGTATACCCTAGCTTGTCGTGCATTCTTTCCAAAACTGGGGACTTTTTAAAAATGCCGCAGGATGCGGGACAAATTGTTAAAAATCAGGACTGTCCCACCAAAAGCGGGACATCTGGTCACCTTATGTAGGTCATAGCCACCCCCCATTCCCTGAGTGCCTTGGGGTGAAGCCCAACTCCCAGTGACCTACGCGCCATAGTTCAAAATGTGCAAGGTCTTGCATCGGCTTCACAGTCATTGAAAATGCCTGAGCCCAGGACTTTCCACAAATGCTGATAAGAGGTTTCCACAGCTGGTTTTGCTAATGTGCTGATTCAAGAATAGGCTTTGCTTATCTTACCTACCTTAAAGAGACTGACATTAAAAAAAAGAAGGGAAAAAAGGGGGCCACTTAATGCGACCAATGGTTTGGGGGGCAGGTGAAAGGGGGAGGTGGGAGAAAGGGGGAGGGTAGCCAACAAACCCAGAGACAAGGGACTAACAAGAGATCTAAAATTGATGGTGAGCCGATGTAGAACACCTGGTGTGGTTTGATCAAGTGCAGTGTAGCTGAGAGGAATTACTGAGAGCCTAATGGTGGTCAAATATGATAGTGGGGAAAGAGGAAAGTAAAAGCAAATAGTGGAAAGAACTAGGAGGCAAAGGAAATTTATAGAGGTATAAATATAGTCATGTACATTTGTAAATATATTAATATATAACAATAGGGATATAGGTCTATATACATATATTTATAGGTTAAGTATTAAGGTAGCAGACAGGCATTGGGCCTCTACTCAAGTCTTCCCTCAACCCAAGAGCCCTTTGTTCTAAGAACCTGGCGTTCTGTGATGCTCACCTTCCAGACACGATTGCTGAAGACAAAGTGGGAGCATAAGCAAATGTGATGAAGACAGCTGGTGGTGCCCAGCTATTAGAAGATGTAGTGTCTGGGGTCTTAAAAGCTTGAAGTTAAACAAGTAGCCATATAGTAGGGAAGCAAGCAAGCCCAAATGAAAGAAGCACACCAGCCTATGCGATTATAAGGTGTTGACGGGATCAGGTGTCAGGCATCAGGAGACCCAAAACAAACAGTCATATTGATGCAAACAAGGTGTGCCAGAGTAGAGACCCAAAGCCCATCTGTAGAAAACTGGACATGTCCTTGCAGAAGGTTCATAAGGCAGGGACAAGCTAATCAGGGTGCAGTACAGCACTGATAAAGCACACACAACATTCCTCTAGTTCTTTAATGCTTCCTGCCCCCAATTATCATGACCCCAGTTCTACCTTACAAATCCAGCTAGACAGGAGCATGTATACTGGTAACCACAGATAAACCACTCAGGAACAATAATGGGAGTAGTGATACCATGAGAGTAGGGAGAAAGAAGTGGGGGAGAAGGGGAGAAAAGGGGGAACCAATTGCAATGATTAATGTACAACCACTCCCACTAGTCCCCGGGGGACAAACAACAGAAATATGGGCGAAAGGAGATAGCAGTCAGAGTAAGATATGAAAATAATAATTGATAAATTATCAAGGGAAAATAAGGGTGAGAGGGTGGGGAAAAAGAGGAACCGATACGAAGGGCTCAAATAGAAAGAAAATGTTTTGTTTTGGAAATGATGGCAAAATATGTAGAAATGTGCTGGGTACAATTGATGTATGGATTGTTATAAGAGCTGTAAGGGCCCCCAATAAAATGATTTATTACAAACAACAAAAAGCTGTACTCATGAGCGCTGATTGCAAAGAGCAGGAGTTTGGTCACAAGGAGAAGGTGAAGACTTCCTGAACTCCATGCTGAGGCAGCATTTGGGGGTGTACGCAGCCCCTTAAACTCCCCCCCTCTCCTATATTCCTTCATCCTCTAAGCAGAGTCCACAGTATTTCCCAAATTCACACCCAGCTCCATATGAAATGGGCGACCCAGCTCCCAAGCCCTCAGCCTCCCTTCCCACAGCCAGGGGAAGGCCCTCGCAGGCTGTGCCCAGCACAGTGCCGCTCCTAGCCCCATTGGGAGGGCAGCCTGGGAGCTTTGCAGCACCCTTTCCCCTTGGCATAGGATGATTCTTTTGCTAGAAATACTCATCTCCTTGAAGATATAGCTCTTCCAATAAAAGATTAAAAACCATCACCACAAATGTTAGCCAGGATGTGGAAAAGCCAGAACCCCCTGTTGTTTGCAGGCCTACAACACGGTGCAGCCGCCCAGGAGGGAAACGCATGGTGGTTCCACCAAAGGCTCATCACGGAGCCAGGGCTTCAAACCCATCCATTCTGCTTCCAGCCCTGGAGGAGGATTTGCATTTCCACTACCCTTTACATGCTGTGTCCGAATCTACACTTTCACAAGATCCCCAGCTGGTTCTGGTAGATCCCCAGATGCTGATTCTTCTAAATTTTGTTAAAATGTAGATCTTGGTCCAGTGTGGAAATGCAAGTGGAGTGGAAATGCCAATTCTCAGCAGGGCTTCAAACCGGAATAAACTAGTTCAGAGAGGCTCTGCCTAGCACTACCACGCTAACCCAACTACTGACTGCCATCAAGGCCATGCGACTCATAATGACCCTACAGGACCCAGGGAAAATGCCCCTGTGGATTTCTGAGTGTGTAAATCTTTAGGAGAGCATGGAGCTGCTGCTGGGTTGGAACTGCTGACCTTGTGGTTCGTAGTCCAAAGTCTAACATATGATACCACCCAGGTGCCTGAGAACTACCACTGCTAGAGGCCTGTAAGCAGGGACGCACACACACATGCACGTCAGCATTCACTGCAGCACTATTCACAAAAGCCAAAGATGGAGACGGCCCACATGTCCCTCAAGAGGTGGGTAGATCAGTAAAAGGTGGCACGTACATGAGGTGCAGCATCAGCCCTACAGAGAAAGGGAGCCTGGATTCAGGCTACATAAAGGGTTGAGCCCTGGGAGCACTGAGCTGAGTGCAATAGTGCAAAAGGACACGCACTTCTACATGAAACATACTGGGGAGAAGCCCAAGTTCATTAGTGGTTATCACGGACAGCAAGGAGGGAGCATGGGGCAGCCCTTGTTCAGGAAGCGACGGGTATCTGTTAAAATAAATAAATGAACCCAGACTCACGCGTCTCTCTGGTTAAGTTATCAACTGTCACCTGCCAATGGTGGCCTAGCGGATTACCTACCGGGCTGCTAGTCTCAAGGTTCACAGTTTGAACCCACCATCTGCGCCAAGAGCCAAAGATGAGGCTTTCTGCCCCTGTAAAGATCTACAGCCTCTAAATAGCCTAGGTTCTCAAATGTGGCTAATCATTGGAATCTCCTGGGGAATCTGATGACACTATAGATCCCTGGGCTCCTGAGCCTAGAGATTGTGATTCATTAGGTTACAAATGGAGCTCCGGGATCAGTGTTTTCAACAGATCCCCATGTGATTTCAATGAACATCAGGGACGTTTGGGAACTTAACCTAAGTTCCAGGGGCCTCTGAGGTGGTCATTTTGGTGAAGGGGATGATAGTACTTTACAAGAGGGAGGTGGGGAAGAAATGGAAGACAGAGGGGCAGAGCAAGCCATTCAGAGGTTTGATACATTATTTAAAGTCCTGAAGGCCAAAAAATGCTCTGATATGTAAACCCATATCTAATTCAGTTTTGTTTGTTAGTTTGTTTACAGCCTCGAAAACCCAAAGGATCCCTTCTACTCTGTCCTATCAAGGGGCTAAGAGTTGCAATAACGCAATGACCGAGAACTGAGTTCTCTAATCACCTACCAGTACCTCCTGTGGAAGAAAGATCCCCTTGTCTGCTTCCATCAGGCTGTATACTCTGAGAACCCCAAAGAAGCCATTCTACTCAGCTCTGTAGGGTCACTTCTGCCTCAGATTGACCTGATACCAGTGAGTATGTAGCCAGGTGGCATCATGGTCAAGTGCTCAACAATGAACAGAAAGATCAGGGGTTTGGACCAATCAGCTGCTACCCAGGGAACAATGTGGCAGTCTGCTTCCATGCAGATGACCGTCGGGGAACCCCCGGGGCAGTCCTACTCTTTCCTGTGTGGTCACTATGAGTGGGGCTCCACTTGGCTTGCCAGCAACAGGTCTGCAGCCTGGCCTGAGCCAGGCACGTTACGCAACCCTCCTTGGTAAGCCTCACAGCTGTGTTTGAAACCTGTGTGAGTGCTGCTCTTTTCAGACGAATTCAAATGCCACCTCTGGCTTGTTGGGAATTTTCTTCCAACTCCAAACGTATTTTCATTTTGTTTTTGTTTTACCGAAGTATATCCTTCCTTTAAAATGTTACAAGGTTTTCTGAAGTAGAGCTCTCTTCTTCCCCTGATTCCATGGACCAACGGAACACACGTCCCTGGGGGCACGGATACATGGTGTTTCAATGTGGCCTCCTTAGAAGCAGAAGCAGATACAGGGAAGGCAGGGGTGCTCTTAGGGAAAAGGTGTGGAAGGACCAGGCAAGCAAGGAGGCAAGGCAGATATGTAGTCAAAACCAGGGGCCAGAGTGTGCCCCATCCTACAGCAGATCCCATGGCGTGGTCCCCACTCTAAGCCAAGGGACGGCTCTTTTGGACTGTGAGGAACTTCATGGTCCCAGTTTGGGGACAGCTGGTCCCATCTGGCAGATGGTGGTGCTCCAGAGGGAGGGGACACAGGAGCCTTCAGCAACCAGTGCCCTTGGGCTTGTATTTAGGATACTAGTACAGGGGATCTGTCAAGGGTGCCAATGGCATCCATTCAACCCCACCCCAAAACCAAACTCGCTGCCATTGAGTTAATGCTAACTCAGAGACACTATAGGGCAGAGTAGAACCACCCCTGATGGTTTCTGAGAGTATAACTCCCGACAGGAATAGAAAGCTCGATCTTT